ACCGATTTATCATAAAGTTTGTTCGTTTGAAATTACTTTTGGAATTGGTGTTAATGAACAAATATGTCGCCAATTTTATTCTCGTTACTAGCTAATCCCTTTCGATCCCTTCGATCCCGGCGGGTGTTATCGGGTCGGTAATTATTATGTGATTATCAACACGAATTTTCGTGATTCAAAGTTTATGATTTATGTGTTATGGTCTCGTTTGTTAGTTTCCTTTTCTGATACACCCTCGTTTGGGTGTTTATTCGAATATTTTACGGGAATCTATTTACCTATCCTCCCCGATAGTTTTGGAAATTAGTTTACCAATAGTTTTTGCTTAATGTTAACTCCTCAAACTTAACATTGTGTAGTCGTCATGTAACTAATTGTTTACATTAATATCTAAAAATGTTTTACAGCAATTGCAGTCACATTATTTTTATAGATTAATCATTTGTACAGGAAAATGTTTATTATTGTGACATTTTGACTAATGTTTTTCGTTATTTGTGGACATGTTTAAGAATTAACAACGTACTATCAAAATTTAAATATATTAAAGATTCCCAAACAAATAATGTTGGCAAAATGACAAACAACGATAAGGAGAATTAAATTTTCAATTTCTTTTTGAAAGCGTTCTCGAACGTAATGCAACGATTTAAAAAGAATTTAACTTTAAGTTTGGAACGAATAAAATATAATTGAAAATAGAACGCATTCAAATATATCGTGGACTTGTAGTGAGTGAAGACGGCGCACGGCGTCAGTTCGCGTTGGTTGCGCTGTCCGCGCGCATTAGCCGTCCGGCTAATACACTTGCGGAGTTCCCAACTCCGTTCAGCTTTAAACGCCTTTGACAGTCCCCCGCACGGACAGCCCGGCTGCCTCACGTGACCGCCGCATCGATAACTTATTAGCGATGCGTTTGTGTGAAAGGAAAGTTTACATTTCAACTTTAATGGTTATTGAACAAGATGTGAGGCGACGTTACTTAACAAATTACTTTATAAACTGCGTAAAGTGAGTAAGAACATTGCTAAGATTTCAGAGAATGTAGATATGTGCACTTAATATTAATTGGAACACGTGTAATGTTTGTTTTCTAACCATAATTAGAAGGTAATTTTCACTCTAATATTGAGATAGGTACCCACAATACAGTTTGAAAACTTGAAGTGTAAAGCACCTATTGTAAAACAAATTCCGAGCATGCAAAAGCACAATTGAATATTAAAATTTGCTTAGCGTTAAACTAAGAGGTCGACAAGGGGAGTTTACAGTATAGGAACATCGAGGACGCTTAACTTCGGGCATAAAGCCTTTGGCGGGTGTCCTGTGCTGGCCGATAGTGGCCATTGAAAATAGATTTTCACGCTACGCTTGAAGTGCTTTTGAGAGGCGAACTTCGTACAAATATTGGGATCTCGCTCTGCGTACATCCCAACATTTAAGTTAAGCTCTATTTAGAAACACCTTTATAGAAGCCAGACATTTATATCTAGCTCGCTAATTATAATGAAGACATTAGATTTTTCGAATTCACTTTTTATTTAATGCCAAAGATCAGATTAAATAAAATTACTTGGAAAACTTTGAACGTTTTAAAGTGTTGAAGCTTTAAAGCATTCATTTGGAAGTGTCGCAAATAAACGTTTTTGTGAGAAAATATTGTACTTACTTCTAGTTTAAAGAAAATTCTGTACGCAAGATGCGTTGAATTAATCGCGTGGAAAAGAGCATGCTGGTGATTTACTACACACGATACATGAGTTCCGAGTGCGATGTTCATCTTCACCGATAGGCTCTTCGATTTTACTGATCATAAACAACAAGACGGCTACGTTATAGCATTTCGTCACTGAACCGTACGAGTAATAAGTGCAATAATTACGACCACCATTATTAAACTTAATTGGAATGAAGGATTGTATGAATAAAGAACGGCAGCCAACTTACATCGAAGTTTAGTGTCCGTGAAACATAATATAATACTATTGTCTCGTCGGCTACCGCTGTACTGCGATACTCTGCCGATTTATAGTCTGTGCGCATCTTTGGAAATAGAATTCAGTCACGACAGGCCTTGCCTAATACCGTAAAATTTGTACATCACTATTTACTTGTAATTAGACCGTGTAATCGTGTAGCTCGGTACATGCTAAACTTTTGTTAGCTTCCACAATTAATTGGTTAAGAGAAATGTGTCTGGACTTGTATCCAACCATTTGATGTACCCAACTATTATTACGTAATTTATGTCCGATCTAGATAATGCACTTACACGTACTTTATTACATTAAAGTAAAAAATAAGGCGGAAAAACCGTTGATTACTTACTACTACATGTTAACGAACAATAAAAATAAATAATAATAATTAAAACTTGCCTAAGTAATGTTATTACGCCATAAACTATAGACTAATGCAAAAACTGTCGATGATAGAGTATGTACGTGTAGAAGTAAAAGTTGAATAAATTACCCGTAGGCAGTATATTGTAGGGCAGAAGGTTAGCGCAGTCAATTTTAATTGACCCGCCTTAGTTACGGTGCGTTTGTGCAATTTATTTAACAGAAAATTAATTTATAGACAACTTTCAGTTGGAAGAGTAGTCTAGAAAAAGGAAACTCACCGTTCTGTCAAATTCAAAGACAGTTCAACCGTCACAAAATGGCGGCGATGTCTCATTCTTATTTTGAACGCAGACTACAGCCTACATTGGCGCAACAGCCATGTTGTCGCGTGTGAACCTCGAACAACAATCGTTTCGCAACGAACGGACGAACGGACATTATGCATGTGTATCGTGGGAACTGGGAAATAGCCGACACCCATAACGTTGCGGCGAAATGATACGTTGCTGCTTGTACTTATGTAACAGTATTGACGTTATTGTACGTTGGTTTACGATTCTGTTGCGCTTCCAGGACCGGTAGCAACAGCTGGGTGCTGCACTAAACTTGGGTAGCTTTGTTTTAGCTGAGAACCAAGGTTAAGTTTCGTTGTGAACGACCTTTACAGACTTGCAATTGCAACTGTCTTGTATAAGAAATGCACTATGAGAAATATTTCTTAAACAAGACTAACAATCAGTATCTACAACTCGACTCCGGCCTAAGTATCGTCTGATTGAATCTTAGAAAAGTATCCGCAATCGGAAGTAATTGCTTCCCACGATAGCTGCTTGGATCGATTACGTATGTAGCGTGACGAATGAGCTGTCATTACCACCCACCACTCGTCTCGATCCAAACTCTCATAAAACATCAATACAAAGAGAACAGAAAGATATCAAAGAGACCCCGGACCATTGTTTTCGTTTCGACGAATTACGGCGATTAAAATTTCCGCGGACAAACGAAATCCGCTAAAAAGGGGAAATGCATCCGTCTTCCTTGCATAATAACCCCATAAACGTGGCCAAAACACCAATCAGCAGTAACCAGAATAGAAAACGAAAACCGCACAACATCGCAGCGAAATAAGAAAACCGTAACCCTTCCGGGAATTATCTGAAATTCAATCTATTTGAGCTCATCCCTATCGATGGGGACAAAGGCTAATACACAAGAGTCCATTGTATTCGCAGATTTATACTTTGTCGTGCATTGTCGTTAATGTGTACACAGCCTTACAATGAGGACGTTCTTTTTAATTCCGCCGAATTTCGTATTGTGCTCATATTACGTGTAGACCAGAAAAATATCTGGAAAGTAATTGATAGAAATATCAATACTTAAGTGTATGAAACTAATCGAAAGCTCAATATTGATTCTCAAATTATTCTAATGGCTAGTGTTAATATTTCTAATAAGTAAACTAGTTATATTTGTTAAGTTCGTTATCGTAGGTGTCTAAACAACGTTAGTTGGTATATGTTAAACTGTGTAAATTCAGAGTGTACATATACTTGTTAAAGTTGTGCCATGCAACTATACAAAGCAGCCGAGTGACAGTTGCAGTTGCTATGCTATGTAACTGAATGTGAACGCTATCGCTTTGCGGCAAGTTCGTAGTTAGCACCGAGTGCGTGTCCGCTCCGCTTTTCCATTTCCATACACATTTATGTTACAAATGGACTCGTATTTTGAGATAACTTGCTCCTAACTTCAAATTATCTTGTAGAATCAGTAATCTTTATGTATTTGGACAATTATTTCTCTTATTTCGTTGATCGCGACCAAACTCCTATGAAATGGTTAAGAAAAAGATACAAATAATCTTGGGTCGAATGCTAGTACAATGTATATGAACGTTGGTAATTAGACAAAACAATAAACTGCGATTAAAACAGAGGAGATGTTTACTTGCCCCTCGCTTCCTCCACGTTGGCAGTACCTGATACTCCGCACGCGACAGGATACAAGGATAAAGGAAGAGGAACGTGGACAGGTGTAAAAGGAACAAAACAAAAATAAAATAAAAGTGTAAAAGAAAAAAAAAACAAAAATAGTGCGGAACTATATGAAGAAGCTTCGAGTGCGTTCTAAATTGTCAAACATCGAATTTTCCTAGCATACGCGTTGATTGACCGTAATTTGCAAAGATTGATCAATATTCGCGTGTAAAGTGATTGACGCGGAAAATGTAAACATCTTTTGTATTCGTAGGCGAGTGGTGCTGTGATTGATGACTTGTATTGTCAGGTAAACTTGACAAGCTAAGATAACCGACGCGTCAAACCGTTCAGATGATTCGTGTTAAAGGAATTGATGATCGTAGCCCAGCGACGTACCAAACATGATTACATCGTTTTGTTACAATTACGCGTCGTCTGATAAGTTTAGTAACATTTTGGTACGTTCAGAGCTAAAATGCGAAACTGCGAACACCAGTGTAGCATATTTGGAAATCAAGTGGAAAACGTACAATGGTATTCACATTAATTGGGAATATTCGCACGACAAAAAATATTTAACCATTTACACAATATGTGTTATAACGCAACACTTAACGTAAATTCCGCAATTATATCTAATCAGACGTGAATGAATGTGTAGAGAAAATACCTTTTTTAGGGATCAGTGACTTGAGCAGCATGATGGCAGCCTCATCGCAAGCCCACGCGTGCATCTTCCTGTACGAGTCGCGGCCCTTCTCCGTCAGCTTGTCCCAGGGCTTCGGCTTCGACAGCAGTTCTGACACTGTGCCTTGCGACAGCCCCAAGACGTACTTGGCAAAAAGTCTCTGGCCAATGTTATGGACTGACAGCAGCTCTCGCACTCTCCGGCTTATGTGCAGCGTGTCCAAGTTAGTGTTGGCGTATTTGTCGATGTTGTATCTGAGCATCTCTTGTAGTCGCGCCTCCATTGGGTCGCCTTTGGGGATGAGGGAGTCGCCGAGTCTTCCCACGAGAGCTCCGGGTGGGAGCGGGCCCATGTCCTCAGCGAACCTGTAGGTGCGGTGCTCCTCGAAGCGGAAGGGGCTCGGCGGAGGCAGCGGCAGCGGCGTGGGCCCGTTGTTGTTGTGGTGCGTGGTGTTGTTGTTGAGCGGCGGCGGCGTGCTGGGCCACTCCTCCACACCTGCGGTGAGAGCACGGTTACGCGGGAACACGAGGACGGGACGGGGGTGGGGCGGGGCGGGGCAGGGCAGGGCTAGCACGCACGCTCGTAAGCGTCGCAATCATTCGGCAACGGCGTACGAATCTTTAATGCGCGCGCGGCGTCTCTCATGTCGGCATCATGGCATGCTCCGAATTCTAAAGCCTAAGTTTGAAACGATTACGCGCGTCCGTGAGCGGCATGGCTGAGGTGGTGGGAACTGGATATTCCTCGTACTCCGCGCGTTTTTTTGCGAATTGTTGTTTTTTTTAGCGGACAGAAAAGTGAAGCGAACACGAACTAGCTACGGACATACACAAGGTTTGAAACATCGAACGTGCATTGCCGCGATCGACTTCCAATGTTCTTTGACGACGGTGATACCGAGCATTCAGCGCGAAGCGACGTCTCTTCAAAAGTTGTGATGCCGTCATTCGGGCTGAATGCACGGAGTTAACAAATCGAAACTCGACTAAACTGAATGGAGCGGTTGGCAACCCTAGCTTTGACTGTATGTAGGTAGTTGTAGTTGCCTTTGTCCAGTCAACATACTCGTGGGTCAATGCTAGTGACGTACCTGTGTCCCGGCGCTCGGCGCTCCGTTCTCGCTCGGCCGAGTGGTCCCGCAGCGAGGGCGCAGTGCTCGGCGAGCGGAGCTCAGGCTTGCGGTCTAGAGACCGCTCCCCACCACCCAGGTCGAGGGCTCGGAGCATGCTGGAACAAGGAAATTGAAATTAGCTATACTGAGCACAACTACATCATTATAAGAAGTCATGAAGGCGGAGAAAAGAGTGAATTTTCGCAAAAGCCGATTTACTCATACAAATTACGAAAACAATTAAGAGTCGACATGAGTGCTCCCTTCTCACCTTACCCGGGTACCGGCACGCCGTAATCATAATTAAAACACAATCCTATAGATTACGCGATTGTAATATAAAGCTTTTAATTATCACAAGACGTTGGGTCACAGTTCGATTTACCCCAATAAATTGGGTCAAAAGTGAATTGATTAAACAATTTCCAGGTGAATTAATTAAGTATTTTAATTAATAGGATGTGCTGGGTCTCTATTGGCAATATTCCTTTAATAAATTTATTGAGATTGGGCCGCTTTGAACGGTATCTTACGGCTATTAGGAGATAAGGCCCTCCGTACCTGTGCCGTTCATTTATTGGTATTATTTTATGTACATTGTAGGAAGCTGTGTGGTTGCCTGCCTTTAGGCTTGGTTTATGAAGCACTCATATTATATTACATTACTTTATTAGTCAAAGGTGAGAAATTACATTGATAGCATTACATCATTCATTATTGTCCATTTTTAACAGTGTACTAACTTCCACGTGTATGTATATATAGTATGTCAAGCAAGATTGTTTATTTGTTATATATACGAACTACTTACGTAGGATGGACCTTTTATCACTTTTTAACGTTATATTTTAATGAATGACGTCAATAGTTTATTGTTAAAGTACCTGTTTGCTTAGTAAGTACACGAACAATACAATTGCTTACGTTGGTTGCGATACATTAATTGACGGATGCTAACACGATAATTAGATAATTTTTACATACATATACGTATGTATATATGTATGTAATTACTTTCGATGGTTTATTCACTAGGAAGGAGGAAATATATTAAACAATGGTGATGTTCATTTCAAGCTTTTCAATATTGCTTGTGATGCCTAATTTTTATTTTGATGTCCGTCTGATAGATTATTTTAAATCATTAGACACGTATTTTTTATTTTCTTACAGAAACGAATACTTTCGACGATATATTGATTTGAAATGTCGCGTGACGTCAATTCTATGTATGTAAATTTTATATGTAGAAATGACGTTTAAGCCCCCACTGCTAAACTTTGATTCGTTTCATCTAAGTATTGTTTTATTATACTACAAAATAAAAAAATACGTGTCTAATATTTTTTCATTACCTAACTGACGGACTAATTTCAATTTTTATTTTCATACCCAGTCATCATCCCAATTGTGGTTCTATTTTTCGTTAGGTACCACCCAAAGATATTGAAACAGAGTTAGGCAGGTACCAATAAAACTATCAACAACATATTGTTAAGGTAAATTACGGCACGCGATTGAACTGGCGACAAATCGCGCAACTGCACCGAATTTTCAGTTCTAATCTAACGATTGGTTGCTGAACTTAGTAGAACGATTTCAGTCGGTCGATCGGTTGGCGAACCAGTTGGGCAACTCCTCGGTAGTAACTCCAACACAATAGGGTTGCACCTTAATTACAATTTAATATATCGCCAATTAAATCGTTGATCGGTAGTGCCGAATCTCGGAGGTGTTGGGAACTTCCCTGTGTGTACGATTTTGGTTAGAAGCAATTCCGTTGCCGTCTCAATTTATAGTGATGTTTACTTTGTTTAGTACTAGGTTGTGTTTATAATTCCTTAGTTATTTAGGAGTATTTTAGGATTATCTTTAATATAGATTTGCTAACCTATAAAGTATAGATAATAGAAAGTTCAGAAATGTCGATTTGTGGACCACTTTCAAAGTCCCTTTCTCACACTCTTTATCCATATTGTTCGCTGTCTTTTTCACCATTAAAAACGACAATTAAAACTAAAAGAATATTAACAAAGTTTCCCAATAAAGCTAACTAGTACAGTAAGATATTAGAACTAACTTCGGAATCGTGACTGCGATGCGCTTACAAGAAATTGCAGTTCAGATTTTTCAAAGATGGCGTCATGTTCCTGTCATAATGATACCGTTTGGTAGCAATAAGTACTGAATTTAAGGTTCTATGACATGCATAGAGAATATAACAATATCTTTTATTATTTACTTTTATTATTTGATTAAGTTTTTTGTATAGTTTACCATCATTTTTGTCACCTAAATCGATTTACACTACTACCAAAATAATTCGCAATGCAAACGTGTATTGTTTAAAGCTTAGTCGTGTTCGTTGAAGTAGGTATTCTCAAAGGGAATACAGATAAACTATTGGTGACACTCTGCACTACTCGTCTGTACTGTATCTAAACGGTAATACTGAATGCATTTGAGTAGGAACATTGGTGATTTTGCTTTAAAATTAAATGCTGCTGTCATATAAAAAATGTTTTTCTTTTCGTATGAAGGTGAAAGTAGTTTCGTTCGTAGGAAAGTGAGAAATATTAGCTCATACAGCTAAAGTAAGTGTAGCAAAATGTCCGTACATAACATGGAAGTTCGGAAACTCCCACAAAATGTAACTACCAAGGAAGACGGCTAATGTTTACGAGGGTTTTAAAACTGATACATTATAAACAGCGATGACACAGTTGGGAAGTGACGACATCCTAGCTTAGTGTGTTAGAGTGGCGTCGGGTGTTAAGGTTTTATCTTTTTTATGTCTATGCTCTCTTGTCACTCATTTGAATTTGGAATATAGAATTCGAGATATGACATTCTATATTTTGAAAGGAGAATGCTATTGTTTTTTTTTCGTGTCACCAATAGTTAAATAGTTTTTATTTTAAATTATGTGCAATTTTAACTACTCGGCTTTTGATCCAGTGTTTTCGAACAATATCTTCTAGTGTTACCTGCTTTTAAACAAAGTTTATGCCCTAAATGTGTCGCAGCTACTCAACACCTTCCCCCTATCCTAAATGAAAGCTTAAAAGCATCTTTGTCTTCGACCAAAAGCCTTCAGTATAAGGCGTGTTCACATTGAATATTTGATGCGCCCAATGTAACCGATGTGCGCTTACCTAACTTTGAATTAATTAGTGGGTTAACTTTTAAAACATTGTGTGTTTAGGCCTTAAATATTCTGCTATCGGTGTCGTTAGGGTTAACTTTGATTTTAGAATCAGCTTGTTTAGTGGTTGTGAAACTAACTTTTTTAATGGAACCTACTCTATTTGGTTAACTACTAACATGTTTGGAGTTTTCTTTCAGCAAAGGTATATTTACTTAACATGTGCTTTGTAAACACTATTTATAAAATAGGTTAACTTTAAATACTTCTTGGCACGTTAAAGATATCTTTGAAACGAAAATCCATCAGTTTTGTTCGCAACAATTTTCCGCAATACACCGTGAGACAAATAACCCGCGAATGACTATCATATTTCAAAATCTGTGACAAAATGTCGATTGATCGTCCCTGCACTGCTCAACCCTTCAAAAGGAATATTTCAAAGACATATTTCCAAAGGGGTGCTCCAGTAAAGGGATGTTTCAATATTGATTAGCGAATTACGAATTCCTGTCGAGTTCTTTACCTTGTTTTATTGTGCCGTGTCGATGGGGGCTGAGCGGTTTCATTACCAATAAACTTACGAGATCATCTCGTTCGAAGAAGCTGGCACTTACTACCTACTAAGTGCCAGCTTCGGATCTTTATCAAGAAATCGTTCAATCAGAAAAAGAAAAATGGCGCCTATGTAAAGTCAGTACGCGTGTAACAACATCAATTGTATTCAAATATCTAATATCGAGTGCTCCCATCAATGCGTCTGACAATAAACGTGACGTCACGGCGCAGTATCAACGCGATCGCCGATAACGTCGCCCCGCCCCCGCAGCGTTGACCAATCACTGATCGATTGGTCACTAACGCCTTTGTACACGAACCGAACACTTGAAAATCCGAGAAACGTCCATTGGCTATGTCTAAATAAAGTTATATTGACACAAAGTTTCCCAGTGTCAGACGATTCTTCCAAACTACAAACGTATGTTGAACAAACACAGTAAAAAGCTTAGGGTCGTCGGGCATTCTTTATGGCATCAGAAATCGTCGGGCAACGTAAATTAGTTGATAATTTGTGTGCGACAGTGTTAGGCTAAACTTGCGTTAAATGTAAGACAAACATCGCCTAAGCAAATGAGAACAGGTGTCTACGATAGGCTCTCATATTGATATATAGGGACAAACACACGACACATAATATAAGAGAATGTTTCTTTGAAATTATGTAAATCTTGTGTGCTTAGATGTTAATTAAACACGAGATAACCAGCTACACTCTTTATTTGACTTTTTTTTTGTATTTCGTCTTCGACGTGTCAACATTGTGCCCGTATTTTAGTTTCTTTAATTATAATGAAACTAAAAAAGCTAATGATGATCTGTGTTATCTAACAGACACTAAAAAATATCTATTTTTACCAGAAAATGTTTTAGAATCGAGAATTCAATTTAATACCAAGCACGGACTCACCAAAAGCCCTCAAAGAAGCACAGACAACAAATAAATCGAACGTAATGACGCCCGAGCCAAGTTAAGCGGAGATTTGGCGGGAACCGCGTTCAGAAATCAATCCATTGCTCCCTCCATTAAGCTTTAATCTTCGGGGGCTGGCTATAACTTAATCCTTGCTTGAGAACCGGAATAAATAAGCAATAAACCAGTGCAGGTGCCTTCTATGTTTATATCGGGAATTATAGATCTTATAGGATTACAACTTATCTTTTGTTGGCAACGGAAAGCGATCATGGGAAAGATACCAAATGGCGGCCATTCGCGTGCTGGTAGCAATAATTGAAATGGGAGGTTTCCGTTTATTTTTCTATCATATTGTGTCGTGTGGACAGATAATGTGTCCGTTATGTGTGCTTTGTTATTGGGATGTCGACGGATTTCTGTTTCTTCGTATTTTTGCTGTGATTGTGATTTGAGCTTAGTGAGGGTAGAAGATATTATATTATAAGTTTAATTTCTTCTACTCTACGTCTCAAAGTTGCTTCCTTCACAAAGCACAGTGTGTTTAGCTTTGACCTTCCGATGTCCGAATAAAACAGCTATAAATATCTCTACATCATTATTCACAACAAAATATTTTCTCGTTGCAGTCAGCTGATGTGTAAATTATAATTAACGTCGCGTCCCAATTTCCGATTTCCCGTCGTAAACCGTAATCGATCGACATTTTATTAATGTTAAAATACGCCTTTTTTATCGTGTTTGCACAGTGTTGATTTTATGTCGCGATGTCGGCGCCTGTGATGTGATCTTTGACGGTGCATCAAAGGCACCGCCGGTATGACACCGTATTGGTGGAGCAACACATTAAACACATCAAAACATTGGTTTTGGGATGTTGTTGCGATGTATTAATAGACTGAGTGGCCCTTTGTGCTGCTGCTGCCATTGTGCCGGCTCGTGTTTTATTATTGTGCTCTTGTTTTAGACACTGATTTTAGAAGAAAATTAGCAGAGGTAAGGATATTTTTATCGCAAAACCTGTCAGAGTCAAGGTGAAGGGTAATTAAAGATTGTTTTCATCCAAAATTATTCTACTTAGATTCTAAATGTACTTCAGATTTAACTCTTTTATTTCACCAATTTCCTTATAGTTTGCACATTATTGTTAGTAAAACCAATCTATACAAGTGCATCCCGCTAACAACAAACTTCCCGAAGTCCCGACACCCTGTCACATCCTGGAATGACGAAAGCACCTGATGTGAGACTCTGTGGAGAGTGCTAATTAACGCTATCAGTTATCAACGGCGCAGGTGATAGATTGTTCCGAAGGATGTTGACTGATCGCCTGATTACATTATTAGCTCGTGGGAAACTCTACCATCGATGGGGATTATGGATTTGGGTAAAAATGATGTAAGCGGTAATGGAGCTCTGAATATACTATAAAGATAGGATAACAGATTCTTTAATGAAGAGATAAAGCCAGGTAAATGACCTTATAGAATGATGAGAAGTATTTTCAAGTATATCAATAATGCAGATTCGGAGAATTTGGACACATTAACGTTGATGAGGACAGGACTAAAAGGTGTGTTGTGCGGATCATTCGCAATTAACACACTAATAAAGAACATCCGCCGACCGACTATTGTTTTCGAACCGAAATAATTTCCCATTCATCCCAGTATCGCGTCAAAATATTAACATCCCTCGATAATTCTATTTATATTTCCCACTGATGCGACAGGAAAAATAAAAAAGTCACCTTTTAAAGTTCTCAGGGAGCGATTTTTGTATCAATATATAGTGTAAACTTAGGGGAGGCCGCTAAATTCCTTATCTCGAACGTTTAGCGTAGGTGTGCGAGGTGGGACACAAGTTCGACGGGACAAGTGGTTTTCGATTTGTGGTAGAATAAAAAAATGTGTTTGGACCTCCTCGGTGACTCTCTGGGAGCCGATGGGTGGATACTGTTTACTGTCAAACGTGTTTAGTTTACCGATGCATACTTTTTGGTGTATTTGTACATGTTCGGTTTATGGTCATGTTTGTTGGTAGTACTCTACTTATGTACGTCGCATGAAGTGGTCAAGTTGTTGGGAGACGTAAAACGTTAAGTGCTGGTGATGTAAAATTTAAGAGAGCTGTCATTGTCACAGGAGGTGAGTGTTTACTCGTCACTACACAAGTACCGCGCGAGGAAGTATCTCAGATATCACAAAAGACACCAAAAACCACGGGCGTCTGATCTCAAAGTGACGACTCAATCCTTGTTTGAAAAACAACATTAAATACTCGGAACTCCATAAAAGATCCTTTAAGATGGGTGCCTGGTAATTAACTGGTACTTGTTGGAGCAAGCTGTCTAAACAATAGGGTGACAGCAGCTTGGGGAGTACGTCGAGTTGTGTGGCAGACGTCGAATGGGTTTTTAGTTTTACGAAGATTGAGAACTATAAAACCGTCAAGAACAATTAGAAGCAACTGAAGCGATCGGTAATATCGTTGAGGTGTAATTTGTTCCAGACCTGTTTGTCTTCATTGCCTCTATAGATAATGGAAGTATGCGTACCTATATAAAAGCTCTATGTACGAGATATGTTAAACAACGTAGATCCATATCATAATCGACTAACGAAGTAATCAAACAAAGCTAGGGTGTGACTGGAAGGCGCCTGCTTATCAGTCAAAGGTACGGAAAGCAAACAGAATGCAGTCAAAACACACAATGATACATTGAATGTATGTACCCAAGTGACATTAAGTTAACTCGGATTATCATACCGTTTCTAGTTCTAATGTTTGTTCTATGGTGAAAGAGTTAATCCTTTCTGACGTTTGATAAGACAACAAACTTTCATGTAAACGTTGTTTCTAAGATGTTTACGTAGAACATGCCGCATTGATTTAACAGTTCGTTTCGTTTTATTGGCTGCTTCGTAAATAAATGGCAGTGTGTAATTCTTTCGAATCTAGAAGCAAATACGGACTTAAAAATGGCAGAAGAGATAGCAATCTGTCTGGGATGCGTGCGTGCATAGACTGGAATTAACCGCACAATACTTTTGTTTTTCATGGAATAGCAAATTTTGCTACAGTATACTCATTGAGTAATAGAGTCATCAGTTTCTGGGAATATCTAAATGAGGAAAATTAAACTGTTGAGTTTTAAATAAAATTGTCATCATCAGATACATTCAGGACTTCTCTACCTCTATAATCGGTTCTTCATTAATATGTAAGTCCAATGTAAGCTGTATCTCAGTTTTCTTCGTTGTAAAGTAAACAAGGAAATGCAGCTATGTTTCGTAGGAGCAGCGCCAAGATCATTTGCCGCTAGTACGTCGACCACATTCAAGGCTTGTTGAACTAACAGATATAATCTGTGCGCAGGTGAACGACCGAGATACGCGTCTTATCAAGTTTATTAACACGTGCTCCATTGTGGACTTTAACATTTTTATACAGCCTCTACCTTTTATCCCTGTTTTGTAATTAACTGGTACCGATCGATTGGCTGAAATTGATCACTTTTTACTTTTGTCTCAAGTGGTCTTAGATGTCTTTCCCTTCTTACATGTGTGTTACCAAATTATAAATCCTCAGTGACTTTAGAAAGATCAAAAAGCAGAATACAGTTCTGCTTTTTGCTAACTAAAAATATTTTATCACCTTTAGTGAGTTCTGGAGAGATTTTACGGGTCTAACAAAAATTGTTTAACAATTCCTTGCATTTTCCGAAAAGGTAGTATTCAATCACTTCTAAGCATTACGTCCAATCAAATCTAAGTCTCTGTTTACCAAGAAAAGTTAAAGAAAACGAATCCTGGCTCCGAAGTTTACCAGAACGACAGATACTCACCTGATTTCTCTCTTGATATCATCATAGTCCCTCTGTGTGTCAAGCCTCGCTTCCAGCCTCGCAATGTGCTGCTTCTTCTCGTCCAGCCTCTCTTCTAGCCGCTGCAGCTGCTGAGCATGGGCTTCTTGCAGCGCTGTCAGCGACGCTTGGAGACGGCGCACGTCATCTACTAGTTGGGCGATCTGGGGACAATGGAGAATTTGTTTGTTAGTTTTTATATTCCGATTATTTTTATTCAGATTTATAAACAAGAAGTCTGGAATCGCAATAGACTTTTTTCCTATTATGAAGAGCTTAAATAATTTTGCGTAAAGTAGGCGTCATATTTGATGTCTCTAGTTGCGCCTTCGGTTAATTAAGGTATGGCTGAATCAAAAATAAATGGATTAATCATATTTCCAGTGGTGTAACTTCATTCCCTGAGAATATAATGATTCATATCAGTTATGCTATTAGAAGTTACATGTTCCAATGAAAAATCCAAGACAATTTCATAATATTCGAGACAGAACTACCAACATTAAAATAATAACATTACGACATCAAAAATGTCGCCAGTATTTTCTAAAGAATATAATTTCATATAATTATCTTGTGTTATCTGTGTGCACAATAAAAGCATCTAACTCTGTTATTATGGAGATCAATCTTTAACGATAAAGACACAGGTGACGCTATCAGACATTTTTAATAATAAAAGAAATATTTAAAATTGTGCCATCGTGTTATAATGACACCTACAGCAGTATAGGAAGGCCTAGTTACTGTTATTTACTATATCATTGTTCATTTCTCATAATAATAATATAATTCCTTCTTCATTTCTGAATGTCAGAAATCAGACGTTTAGTTTTTTTCAAGCAAACGATACACGTGTCGTAGTTGTCTTATTTTAGCGTGGCAACACATTAATAACGTGTAACGCTTTATAGCTAAACAATTTCGGGGTTTTCCGTAATTATCGAATATAATAGCTAACGTTAAAACAACAATTAAACTCGATATCGAGTAAATCAAAAGAAGTTCCAATCGTATTATTTAGTAACAGAATACTAAAAACTAATTTTAGTTCGTGTTTCCGTTCGACAATTGACGATCTATTCATAAAATCAGCACCGAAGTGCAAGGTTAAGTTGGTAGGTGGATAAAGTGATGAATGTTTGATTTTGGACTTTGTGTGGTTGTGATAGAGGTGAGGTGTGTTTTGTGTGGGTGTGTAGCTGTTGGTCGGATAGCTCTCAGCATGTTATTACCCGACCTTCGGAAGATATCAATTGTTGGCGCTGCCGTCAGGTGGGGTGTCGTTGGCGCTCGAGCGTGAAGATGCGTATCGTGTAGATAGATGCGACGGAAATCACGGACGCCGTATGACCCTGGATATGTCTTGAGACGGTTTTCCGATCCGAGTTTTTATGATTGTTATGTGCGGAATGATTTTGATTTTATTGAAGACCGTTTTCAGGTTAGGCGGTTTTTCCTGTTGGTAGACAGTAGACACGTTTATGCTTTGTTGTTTATTAGGTAGGTACTAGTTTTCGGTTTGACTTTTCCTTAATTTCTTTTATTGTCTATCTTTGTCTTATTCGAATTTTTCATTCCAACTGTGTTCTGCTTTAGTTGCTTGTTGCATTAATACTTTTGTGTGGTTTATCGTAGTCATTTTCATTAATTAAGCAATTATTGCAGATAAGCAGGCAGGATATACATTATACAAATTTATAATTTAAATTAAACTCAAATAAATGTAGTTTAGTAATTCAATGATTGTGGCTTTGCAAAGTTTTACGAAGTTTACGTAGATTTTTTTTGTTAAATTAGACAAATCGAGTCTATGAAGGAAATTAACTAAATACGATATAGAGATTCTTGTTCATTAAAAAATGAACGATCGTCGACATAACAAACTTAGTTGTGAACACGATCGAAATTATTTCTTATTATCACCAAAATACGGTTAAAAATCACTTAATTAAAATGACACCTTGACATCGATGTCTTAATACGTATCAGTATAATAATACCTGAGTAAATATTGTCAGTTTTGTTTGAACCAGCCTTGAAGATCTGTCGTAAATAATCTTCCATTACAACTCGGCCTCTTTACAGAACGTTGTAAAAAACTGAAAAATAACCTTCAGACATCATTATGATTGTAATACTTATAATAATATAGAATAAGTAATGAGAACAAATAGTCTAAGATCCGGCTGCAGAATCAGTGTACCCATCGAGTGTTTGCTGAAAACCAAATTTTTACACATATTCATGATTAGGAGAATTTATATCCACCAGGTTGCCTATCAAAATGTGGCCGCTAGTATTTTTAATTAAATTATTAATAATTCATAATCCGTAAGAAATTTCACTGACTTTTTTTTTCAATGAAATGTCGTCTACTTCACGGCAACATCTATAAAGACTCTGAAAAATTATGGTTGCCGTTGCGCACCTGGCCGCACCTCTTCGCAGCCAGGTATACACAGGTATGAATTTGTTACATTTATACACCCACAACGTACATTTATAATTTATATATCAAATTAAAGCAAATTTTTTTCTGTATATTATTATATACGGTTGCTTAATTAAATCTGGCCGCCAATAAGGGTTGCTGGCTAATAAATATAGTAAATATTAAAAGTAGAGTGAAAGAGAGCTAGCGCGTAACACCACTAGTCACTAGGTACGACTCAAAATAATAAATACTCCAAAAGAAACGTCTTTCTTTTCTAAAATAAAAAATTAAAAAGTCAACGACAAATTTAAAAATTACAAAAAAAAAATGAATATTGATGATAAATAAAATCAAGGTTACTTATGTAAAAAAATTGTGTTGTACAAGTACTGTATGAAAAAAGATTTAATTTTATTCAAGTATTACATTTATTTTACATATTCATCAATCATCAGTTTTACCTTCAAGCGGGCGCGTAGTCATTTAAACGGGAGCAGGCGCGCGTAACCGAAAAGACCTATGGATTAATAAGAGAAATAAAGCACTAATTATTCAATATTTATTTATTTATTTGTACTACAGATTTATTATCATTGTCTTTAAATCGTAATTTGTCAAAAAAGTAATTTTTCATGAAAAACAAACAATTATTAGATTAAATTAACATAACTCAAACATTATACAAATCAAATCAAAAATTAGGAACACAAACCCCTTTTTATATACCTAAGACTAGTTTATATACCTTATCTAATAACAAAAATTACGAATTATGAATACTAATAATAATTAACTAGTCTAGTACATTGCATTTTTTTCGCACAGGAACACGCCTTCATCCTTATAAATTTTATTTCACTTAAATGAGATTGAAATTTTTCGATGCACAAATAAAAACAATTTTTTTTTGATCCGTTGACAACACTAACATCTGACGCATGCGCAATGGCTTTAAACCGTCTGACAGCTGGCAATCGCTATCCTCGTCTGACTAGTGGTGTTACGCGCTAGCTCTCTTCACTCTACTTTTAATATTTACTATATTTATTAGCCAGCAACCCTTATTGGCGGCCAGATTTAATTAAGCAACCGTATATAATAATAATTACAAAAAAAATTGCTTTAATTTGATATATAATTATAAATGTACGTTGTGGGTGTATAAATGTAACAAATTCATACCTGTGTATACCTGGCTGCGAAGAGGTGCGGCCAGGTGCGCAACGGCAACCATAATTTTTCAGAGTCTTTATAGATGTTGCCGTGAAGTAGACGACATTTCATTGAAAAAAAAAGTCAGTGAAATTTCTTACGGATTATGAATTATTAATAATTTAATTAAAAATACTAGCGGCCACATTTTGATAGGCAACCTGGTGGATATAAATTCTCCTAATCATGAATATGTGTAAAAATTTGGTTTTCAGCAAACACTCGATGGGTACACTGATTCTGCAGCCGGATCTCGTACTAAAATGAAATATTTTGACATGAAGAACGTGCTTATAAAAAATGGATGCCACTCGAATACGTCAACTCGATTTTTTCGCGGCATTTTTTCGTATCATTATTGTTTATTTTTATTAGTTTATTTTTAATTTATAATAATTTTTGGTTTATATTTTATTGTAGGTATCTAGCAAATGTTTATATAACTATATTATTTTAATAGAACATAAAAATAAATTAGGTTATTTAATAATTTTCTTTCTGCTCAAAATTAACTTCGGTATTTTTTAAATATATTTGCGTGGAATTGTCAATGCAGGATACTATTTTATTGGCATGTAAACAGGGTCACCATCATTCAGGGTAGTACAGTCGCGTCATAAAAAGTATTAGCCGAAACGAAAATTCGGGCGGACAGCACCGCGAGTAATTATTGTCTTAATTCGGACCTGCACTGACCGCACCTATTAACTTAGTTTTATGTTACGAGCGCCAGCGGGGCGGGTAATAATGGAAAAATATTGTTTTGTTTGTTGCCGCAAACAATTCAGTAAAATACAATCTCAAAGTTATCAGAAATGCAGTAGACTTGCCGTCCTCATTTAATGTAAGCCCCATTTTGAAGTTTTAGTGTATTTTGTTTGACTTGTCTGTCCCCGCTGGCCGCCCGCATCTTAGCCAGCATCCAAGGGTTGTTCCTTCAGCGAAGGGTTAAGGGTAACCCTCGTACAATTACCTACAATCATTACTATGGACAATTATGTTTTCGACCGCCGCCCGTCACAGTTTCAGCTTTTTATTGAAGTCTACCACATTTTTAGTATAATTACAGCGTGGCCGCCAGGGTCTGTGATCACCCCACTGTGACGCCGATTAACTCGAATACCTCTCGTACGGATCGTTTAAAAAAGACCTTTTGGACAATTTGGTGAGATTTACATGTGTTAGCAACTTTGTTTTGACTTCTAGATGGGATTTTTCGGGACTTCATTCCCTGTAGTTACTAGTTTATTCAGTGACGTTAACGTCGTTTGTTAATTTGGCTGACTGTACTTTGATGGGGGAAAGTTCACAATTTATTTTGTTGCTCGGGTCGCTGTTGTTTTACCTTCATCATCCTCACTCGCGTTTTACACTTTAAATAAAAACTGTACCAAAGCAATTCATTTTTCAACCTAGAACTGTCACGGCAGACACAGGGCACTGCGTGCGTCGCTTCGCATTCTTAGCTGTGTTCCTTCCGATGCAAATGGTCGAGTCTCGGCCCATAAATCCGCCACCGTCCCCGGCGGGTTATCAGACGTGCTCGATTCTAACTTACACCTACTTTTATATGGTGATAATATGCTTAGTTTTATTTATAGCCATGGCAAGCAAAAGGTACATTACTAGTAAAAGCGACATCTGCATAAAGCAGTATTCTTACAGTTCACCGAGTGGCACAATCCAAGTTTCTTCTAAAATAAGCTTAAAAGCCAATCTCGACTCCAATACAAATGAAACGAACCGAAGGAGGACGAAATGAGAACAGCTCGCCAAAAGCCAATCCACAAAATTGAGCTACAAAGGACGATCGCTTTTTATTCTATTTCTCAAAACCATAACCTCTTTTATCTTTCCAAGATCGATGAAAAAGCAACAAAGATGTCGACCACGTCGATTGTCTAAAGCTCAATAAAGTAACAAAACAGAATCAATTTGAGGCACAATGCGTCAATGCAGTGCTCAATCACAAAGGAAGTGATGACAGACAACTCACTAAAAAAAACCTAATACGCCATTTTGACGTCGGAAAGAGTTCATGCTGGCGATCTGTCAAAGTGGTCAAACAGTTTAAGGGAAATATCTGTCCGGATTTCGCGGGATACGTCCCGTTTGCTCAGAGTTAAACGCGAAGAGTTTCAAAAGAATTACGCTGTTTGCATGGATCCTTAAACACATTTGGTATCTAGTCTCCTTAAAATATGTAACTCTATTTATTATACTTAAATTAATTAAATGAAATTAGTTTCGCTAATGGCTTTCATATCTATTAAGCCTTTAAGGCTATATATCTTTGCATTATTCACCTGCAGCGCCCCTCAATGTCAGTCATTTTGTTATACTACACCGCACTGAATACCTGCATTGGATCATTAAAATTGCACCGAAACATTAAGCCTACCTGTTAATTAATTAAAGCTTAAAATTATGTCCCGACTCTTTGGTTGTATGTGGTGACCCTTCGAAAATCGCGAATTGTCGGGAAACATTTATTAGGCCGACGTTTAAGCGGGAAATTTCAAATTTCGAATTCGAACGCGCGAGCAATACCAACTGAACGAACAAAAAGACGTTCGGAAAGCTTCTACGGCGGGACGGCGGTTTTTCTTTTTACGTCATCTATAGTCTGTCTAGTTTGACGCGACGAGTTTCGTTTCGTTTCGAAAAAAGATGATAAACGACACGAATGATTGAACAGTTGAACGCGAGTTTCAAAAAGATTCCTACTATCCGTTTATTACGTGCTCTTCAGCTGTCATCGCATCTATCGGAATTAAAACGGCCGAATGTGAATTATTATTTTAACGTATTTCACGGGACAAACATTTGTGATTCATAAATATTCACATTTCGGTAAATGCTTTTACAGTAACAGTTTGATTGACAATGAACGTCGCGATCATCAATCACGTGTCATATCGAATGTGCGGCGTGAAAATGCTAAAAATTAATAAGCACAGGCAAGGTGGATTGTACAACATTAATATTTCTATTATTGTGTAGGCGCTAGGGTTGAGTTTGGCTTGGTGATTTGTTTTTGGAGTATATTTTAACGGCAAACGCCAACATGGAACTTGTCCATGCACTTTTGACATGATACGTCGGTGGCGTTCGGATAAACATAGCGATGAATCGTGATCATTTCGATTATTACTTTTTCGATGCTGTCAGTTCGTGTTTAGGAACGTTACACGCGGAGATTCTGTCAGTATTAAATAGTGGATAGTTTTTAATGAACCGTGCAACAGACGTGATTAACGTTGAATGAAGGATATTTGTGGAACGTCGGGCAAATATAAGACTCGGGATTGACGGAGCTATCAGGTTTTTTACTCATGTTTTGTTTTGGGTTTCACTTTAATGAAAAGCTTTATGAATTTTCTTTTCTAGGTATCCACCACTAATTGCTTCAACATTACTTTATGCCAAAACAATGTCTGTGCAAAAATTTTGTTACAATAGTATATTTTTGAAACGATTGGTAATCAGATAGCTGTCATGCGATTTCAGTGATACTTTTTATTGACAAATCCAATTATCATTTCGAAACACGACACAGACAAGCCGAATGCAAACTGCATAGTTCTCGGTTTGAGTCGACAACGAAATGAAGCAATTATAAGTTGTGGGAGCTCATTTATTGCCTGTCTATCGTTCGCCGTTATAAAACCGAATGGAAAACTAAGTTTCGCCTGTTGTGGTTGCGACTTCGCGTTATTGGGGTGTCGCTGTTTTGATTTCGATGATAAGTTCGGTCTGTACGTGTGCGAGTTATTGGATACCGATTGTTGTAGGCTGATTGAGTTTGGGTACAGGTTGTGCGGTCGGTTGTTTCACGGTTTATTGAAGCGGTATATTTGATTGGTGTTTGTTGTTTCGTACTCAAAACTTTGTTTGTGGTGTCTGTGAGATATGATACGGATACTTAGATATCTATTGGATTCTATTTATTTCTTTAGATACCTTTTAACAACTATTGTGACAGTTTAATTTTGTAAGATACATTTTAAACACTTTAAAATTTTGAACGTAACCACCAATACCAACATAACATCGCATGCTACCAACCTCACGCGACGTGGAAATAGCCCGCCAATTACGTACAGACGTCATTCGGGATTAAAAGAAAAATATCAAGTGAAACGTGTTTCTTCCGCGGTGGTTGAGGCAGTAGATCACGTGGGGGTGCGATATCTAGCCTAGATTATTTTGAGTAACGGCCCGCCGTCGGGGGTGCTCGGAAAAAATGCATACCATGGATAAAATATGGTTTCGTACTGCAATTAAAATGGTTTGTTTCAAGAACTATGGTGTGCTGTTGTTTTTTTTTGTTGTGTCTGCCTTGGAGCCGAGGTGTTAGTATTAGAATGTGATTTATATTGTTTCATTTTCGTTTCGATAACATTCTTTTAAATTTGTACCTAACAAATATACAACTTTTTATTTTCCTTACAATTTTTGGTAAATAGGTTATAATTTATATTGGTATAGCATGTAAAAAACTGAAGTAAACGCGATACAAATCACTACAATCAGTGGTGAGCAGAATTTAGCGCCTTCGTGCCGTTACCGGGCAGCTGATCGCGAAGCCTTTGCATTCTACCCCCGAAAAGAGGCGATAATTATTTTAATTTATTGTTACCCACGTATCGCTTCGTTTTATCACATTTATTTTTCAAGAATTTCACCTACAGTTATTCTGTTTCGTGCGATAAAGTGAGGATTTAAATCGGACTGGAAATTAAACGCTAACTCATCGTGGTATTTTCAACCCTGTATAATATAAAATTAAGTATAAATTGATACAGTATTTTTATTACAAAACCTCATATATTTAAAAACATATTTCATGTTTAAACAACAGTCTTCCAATCTCGACACTAGTTAAGGAAATCTATTCCAGTGTTTAATCGAACAATGTCGGAGAACAGTTCAATTCAAGCGTGTTCCGATGTCTTCCTGAAGTGCTTCGTCCCTGAATCACGTCTTACTTAATCGGAACACGTTCCGATTCGCCGGAACGAGCCGGAGATTGACGAAATTGTGTCTGTCACAATGATCTTATACTAAAACAGCGCCATTTTTAAAAATTGTGGCGGGAGATAGGTGTTCTTATTTTAAAATTGATATTTAAGCCATCATAGACAATTCCAATTAAGTAAAAGGCTCATAACTCATAATCGATTCAATAAAACCTCCTTTTTAATCGACTTTACTGAACGAACTCATATGGACCTGTCTAAAGAATGTAATTTGATAATACGAAGACATACCAAAGCAAAAGGAGCTAAAATTCGATATTAGCCATTAGTAGATTCGGAGTTTTCTAATTAGACTAAGCACACAAACGAAATAAAGCATTAAGGAGTTGTGCAAATAGAATGGAAGAAGGGGGAATGAGTGCAGATGTAATGTTACTGGAAACGGGCACTGTGTGATGATAAAACTTAATGGGGAACTTTGAATTAGGTATTCGATTTTGTACCCTATGTTTAATGATTTAAAGCTTCAACAGTTACATTGTTGTATTTGTAAATAATATAGTACGAGTAAGTATATTAATACATTTAGCAATGCTTTTTAAATCGACTTTAATGAAAACTACTAAATCTGAAAAACAATTACCAGCCAATATTTAATAATAAATATTCGCTTATATTTTTATATTTGACTTTCTTAAAAAAAAGAAACTTCAAACATCGAACAATACGATTCAAAATTCAAACTGCGCTCATTCTATTTTCAAATGCTAACAATAAGTGCCGAACATCCAGTGTTGCCATACGTCGCTGTCCGCCCGTATGCAGCCTTCGTAAGCAAATAATATGACAAGATAAAGAGAATGGAAAACGATATTTTGTTTTGTACTCGACAAATATCGTTAATTCCCTTGTCTATAAAGGGTAAATAGACACTGGAAAGTGGAAAGTATTAGTTGATTAGTAATTATGTTAATTAAATAAGCACTCATGCAGTTGTGTTTGACTTTTCCTTTAGGAAATGTTCTGCATCATAACTTTTATCGACCACGTTGGTGGTAGAATTACAGTTATGTTTGGAACATCCAAATGAATACAAGAATCTTGAAAGGTTTTCTTGTTATTAAATTCGAAATCATTACAAATAATTACGAGCTGATACAAGACAATTTAAACCTGCAGCCATTACAGTAATCAAGGAAGTTAAACTTAACCTATTTATATCGTAAGATCGTCACCTAGAGCATTGTGCACAAGGACGGGCCACAATGCACCGTGTCGTTACCATTGTTACAATAATGCGTCTAATTGTACTGAATTGTTGTTCATATCACTCCCTATGACGGTTAGACGTTGATAGCAACAAATTACAGTT